TATAGACCAGGGGCGTTCAGTAGCTTGAAAATCATCCTTTGAACAGTGCTGAACAATTTTAGGGTGTTATACTATACTTGTTGTTTTAAGGAGAATTTCATAGTATCTAAGTTAAATGAGCCTGAATATTTTTAGCATAATGGAATCAATTCTATGCCAAATCAGTGAAGATGGGATTAAATGTTTCTTGTGTCTCACTCCAGACCTTGCAGGTCCTAAGGAGAGACCCACTCCCCCATATGCCAGCTCGCTGCATGCGCCAATTTCTAAGTTTATTGAATCAGGCTCTGGTTTGCAGGTCCAGGTAAATACTATCTTAGGTCTCAGATGTGGTTAGAAACCTGAGGGCCTGGCCAGGTTCTAACCAGTGTTGGGGTCTGACCAAGCCAACAAGGAGCTATGTCATAAACCTGACAAGCTATGAGTGGGGCCACATTGAAGGCCTGAGAATCTCAGTGACCAAAAGCAACCATATAGGATGGTCTGATCATAAATTCTCAAGTGGGCAGGCCACGGCGGGTAGTCTAGTCATGTCTCAGACCCATGCTGTTTTAGCAAAGGTCAGTCTTTATCTTAAGGGAGCCCTGTCCATTGTTTTTATGCATCTAGGATACCATATCTCTCAAATGTCAGAGTAACTTCCTTTTCCGACCCTTCCAAGACACAACCACCAGCTCCAAAAAACCAGACCACCATCATCGTTGTCTTGCTGCCCGCATACCATCTCTATTTACTGTAAATGTTTACTATCTTGTATCCGATGTAAAAGTATGTCTCCCCATTTTGTTTTTTATCCCATCCCAGAGATTTCCCCGTTTTGCTTTTTCCTGCCTCTTTAATCCTACCACCAATGGACTTCATGTAACTTTCCTTACATATCTTCTCCTTTGATTCTAATGTATAAGAGAAGCTGCAAAACTGCTGTTCTTCAGAGCATTTTCTCAGTCTGAGATTTTGCTTCCAGGCATGTCCTGAAAATTTTGGCTCAAATAAACTCATAAAACTTTTCTAGCCTGAATATTCTTTCATGGACATAAGTTTCTTATTTTTATTGACATGTAATTGACATTCAATATCCTATTAGTTTCAGGTGCACATCATAATTTGATATTTATATAGTGAAATGATCCCCACAATAAATCTAGTTACCATCTGCCTAGCTGTGGAGGGTGCAGCTCCGTGGCCCACGTGGGGATCGAATTAGCAACCTTGGTGCTATGAGCACTGTGCTCTAACCAACTGAGCTAGCCGGCAGCCCCCAGAAGTTTCTTGAATCTTGCAAAACATCAGGTCCAGGTCAGTTCCAGGTTGCGAAAGTGCCCTGAGTGAGGTGGGGTAGAAAGGTCGAGACACACAGCCTTGGCCTTCGGACAGCAGAAAGTGAACAAAGACGGCCTCTGGTGGCCAGGCCCCGAGATTGTCTCCCCCTTTAAACAAGTAATTAATTTATAAGGGCGTCCCAGGGCTGAAGAGTCCTGAGAGGGCCAGGCTGCACCACACTCCCTCATAAGGGGAAACCGAAGCCTAAAGAACAGAAGTGTCTCCCTACTCCCATTTCCACCCCCCACCCCCGCCACTTGCGCCCGCCCAGGACACACAGCGAAGCAGGACAAGAACTGAGACTCAAATTCAGGTTTCTTCACTCCAAGGATGTGATTCCAAGCGACTAGCGTTCTTCTAAATGGCCACTTGTTTTAAGCGCGTTCCGAAGAGCCAACCATTTAAAGAGGTCCCCAGGGGCGAAGCACTGGCTCTTAATAAGGTATTGAGTCAAAACCCTGCCTCCCTGACGCTTTAAGAGGACACACGTAAACGACCTATCTGCCCGCCACTTCCGGGGTCCTTAAACATCATCGCAGCTGGTGGTTAATCCCGGGCCCCTCGAGCCCGCCCTTAAGGCATCTTGGGAAATGTAGTTCCACCTTCTTCCAGATACAAGGTGGGCGCCGTCTTGGAACTGCATTTCCCAGAAGGCTGTGCGGCTCGCCGTCTCCATAGCTGGGCTACAGGCGGGTGGGGCGAACCCCTTGTGACGGGCTTTTTTAATTTCTCAGGGGGAATGAGTGACGGGGGACAGAGGCCCTTGGCGGCGCCGTCCGTAAGTTGCCTAGCCTGGCGAAGCTGGGAGCAGAGACGGTGGACTCGGTCCTACGGCTCTGCTTCCGATTGGGAGGCAAATAGCGGAGGTGCCGCGTCTCCTTTAATTGCGGTGGGCGGGTCCCTGGGACGCGACGCGCGTTGCTATTGGCGGCGGTTGGGGGCGCGGAAACTGAACGCTCTGCAACGGCAGCCGCTACCTCCTCGGGCTGCTCCGGCGCCTTGGGCGCCCCTAGCCCTGCCATGGCCGCGCCCTGCCCGGTAAGTTCCTGCGGCGGCGGTCACCTGGGCCTTAGTCTCCCCTTGCAGACAGTGGGCTCCTGGCCTGGGCGAAGTCTGCGAGGGGGGCGGTTGGGACTTCGGGTTCCTAGCCCGCCCTCTCCCGCCTCAGTTTACCGTCTGTGCAGGGGGAGCTGAGTTGGGCCACCTAGTGAGACCACGTGCGGGCTACCAGGGCGAACACACCAGTCGCGGCCCCCAGGATTTGCATCCTAGCTGGGGAGACACTAGTACAGCCTGATTGGAGGTGTGACCTGAGGCCAGCGCCGGGCCTCTGGCCTCAGTCTCGCCATCCTGAGCAGTGGATGGCTACATGGGGGCGTGTTGAGAGTACACCCTGCTCCAACGAGTGGAAACGTCAGGCTCCTGGGATGCCCGGGAAGGCTTATGCCTGCAGTGTGACCTGAGCCCGGCTGCCGTCTCTGAGTCCCAGGTTCGGCCAGAGGGGAGCACTCCACAGCCCCTCTTTTTGAGAGGTTGTTTGGAATTTCCCTGGCCTTCTGGCTGGGTTGAGAGTCCAGGAGGCTGGGTGGTGGCCTGTTGGTCCCCTTAGGCATCTAGGGACATGAGCAGAGGGCTCAAACTAGGATCCAGGCCTATTGACCCTTAATCTAGTGCTCTTTCCACAAGACCTCTTCCTCCCAGCCCCAGACAGGGAACTACGGAGCCCGTGGGACTGGGGGAGAGGATGTTGGGAGATTTCAGGGCCCCTCTGGTTAGGAGTGGACCTGAAGTTGCCTCTACCCAGCGAGCCTAGAGGTGGGCACTGTCTTACTCCTGTTCTTTGGAGACTCAGGTGGCAGTTGCTGCTTTGTTGGGGGCCCTCCCCCAGCAGCCACTCCCTCTTTTGTTGCAAGGGGGACTCAGGCTGGTGTTTTGGGGGTGGAGCTGGGCACTGGGCCATGGGGCCTTTGTTCTGGTTACAGCTGAGTGGGATGGCAGTGGCCCTGCTCTACCACAAGGACATTTTTCCCCAAGAGGAGGCCTTGCTGGGCTCCCTGGTGCACCCGAAATGCTTCTTTGAGGTTCTTGATGTTTGGGGCTCTGGAGTACCATCTGCATGGCTTCCGAAGAAGGGTCCTGAACTAGGACTTCTCTGATGCTGGGTGGAGTGGGTGGTGGTGATGACACCAGGGAGGGGCCTCTCCAGGGCTGAACTTTGGGTTCACTGGCCATTCTGCAGTGGGCTTGAGCGTACAGAACCTGATTCCTGAGGTGGGGGGTGCTATAAGACCCACATTTTCTCTCCTTTCTTCTTTTTTTAAAAAAATAACTTCGCACAACTAGACTGAAGAACAAAAGGAAAGCAACTTATCTGTTCCCCTTTCCCCAATTCCCCAATAAAAGTCTTTTAAAAAAAAAAGAATAATATATTATAAATATATATTTAAGTAAGTCTAAAAGAGTTCTTTCAATAAAAATGTTATGTGCTATAAAAAAATAACTTTGTTGAGACATACCATAAAATTCACTTTTTTTTAAGTGTAAAATTCAGTGGTTTTTCATAATTTCAGTGTTGTGCAACTATCAACACTAATTCCAGAACGTTTTTGTCACCCCAGAGAAACCCGGTACCCATTAAAACAGTCACTCCCTTTCCTTCCTAGTTCCTCCCTTCTCCCAGCCCCTGGCAGCCACTGATCTATTTTCTGTCTCTATAGATTGGCCTATTCTGGACATTTCATATAAATGGAATCAGACAAAATATGGCCTTTTGTGTCTGCTTCTTTCACTAGGAATATGTTTTCAAGTTCACCCATGTTGTAGCGTGTCTCAGTGCTTCATGCCTTCCATGGCTGAATAATGTGCCATCGTATGGATAGAAAACATCTTGTTTATCCATTCATCCATTGACGGGTGTTTAGGTGTGTCTACTTCTTGGCTATTAGAATGATATTGCTATGAGCATTTGTGTACAGGTTTTTGTGTGAACATGTTTTCAGTTCTTTCGGATGTTTACCTTGAATTGCTGGGCCATTTGATAACTCTGTTTAACTTTTTGAGGCACTGCCAAACTGTTTTGTACAGGGGCTGTTTTTTTCTTTTTTTTTAAGATTTTAAAAAAGATTTTGTGTTCACATTTTCATGTGAATTTTAGGATCAGCTTGTCAATTTCTGCCAAAAGAGAATTTGTATTCAATACAAATAGGGATTGTATTGAATCTGTAGATCAATTTGGGGAGTATTGCATTTTAAAAATATCGGGTTTTCCAAATATGAACATGGGATGTCTTTCCATTTATCTTGTTCTTTCTAAATTTCATTTAATAATGTTTTGTAGTTTTCACTGGATACATCTTGTACTTCTTTTGTTAATTATTCCTAAATAGTTTACATTTTTAAGAATATGTCATAAATGGAGTTGTTACCTTACTTTTTCTGGATTGCTCATTGCTGGTGTACAGAAATACGATTGATTTTTGTATATTGATTTTGTATCCTATAACCTTACTGAACTTGCCTGTGAATGCTAATAGTCTTCTAGTGGGTTCCTTAGGATTTTCTACATGCAAGATCATGCTGTGAGCATTTCTAAACTCCCCTGGCTGTTACAGGAAGAGTCTTGGCCCTGGGAACTCCTTTTCTCATCCAGCCTTCTCACATTTGACCCTGGTCTCCCCCAGGAGGACCCCTCGCTGGAGAGGCATTTTAAGGGCCACCGAGATGCAGTCACCTGTGTGGACTTCAGTCTCAACATGAAGCACCTGGGTAAGAGGAGGCATCTTGTCCTGAGAAAGCCAAGTTTCCCCCTGGAGGTGAGGCGTGGGGGACGCAGAGTGAGGACCCACGTGCTCTAGCTAGACCTGCATCTTGCCTCGGGCAGCCAGTTCTGGGCGCCGGGCTCCGTGAGCTCCGTTCTACATGCCAGGTGTGAGGCCCAGAGAGGTTGGGGGCCTTCCAAGGTCACTGCAGCCTTTGGGGGTAGGACTGGGCTCTGGGATTTTCCCTCTACACCCCAGCCACCTCTTAGGTCGGGCCTGCAGAATGGGCCCTATAGAGTGGCTCCTTTTCCACAGTAACGGGCGCACCTTGTCAGATGCGTGCCAGAGAGAAGGAAGTGGCGTAGGGCCCGGCACGCCCCACCCCGCTGCCCTTGTAGCTAGGTGCCCCCCAACTTGGCTACCTGGGAGTTCATGCACAGCCATCATGGCTGTGGCTTCCTTGTTCCTATGGGCGAGAGTCCGTCCTTCCCTCCCCGCCTTCATCTTCTAGGCCAGGTACCCTGCCAGAGGCTGCTGGCCTTGTGGCCGCTTCAGATTAGCAGGAAGCGGAAATCATTTTTGATCCATTTTGGGGACCTCCTCTAGGCTTCTGAGTGGTTCCAGGCCCATTGGGTTGGGCTAGCTTTCCAGTTTTGGGAGGACTTGCTCTCCAGTGCCCTCAGGGTGTGTCTGTGGCAAGACCTGGGACCCCACAGGGGATGAGTTTTCCCATGGGCCCCCTGGGTTGCAGCCCAGGGCTGGCATTTCTTGGTCTGCTGCTAGGAGAGCTGGCAGGCATTAGGCTCTCCAAACTCCTGGTCCCCATTCACTGAAGGTGTGACCTGTCCTGTGGGAAAGCCCCCCGCCTCCCGTCGCCCCAGAGACAGGTGGAGACTCGAGGCCCTGTAGAGCCGAGGCTCACAGTGTACCTGCTCCCCTCAGCCAGCGGCTCCATGGACTCGTGCCTCATGGTCTGGCACATGAAGCCCCAGTCACGTGCCTACCGCTTCGCTGGCCACAAAGACGCCGTCACCTGTGTGAACTTCTCCCCTTCAGGACACCTGCTTGCCTCAGGCTCCCGTGACAAGACTGTCCGAATCTGGGTACCCAATGTGTGAGTTATAGACTTTGAGGGGCTTGTCTGAGTCTGGGGTCCTGGTCCAGGGCTGGCCCCACCCAGGTTCCCATCCTGATTCTGCACTAGTCACAGTGGCACATCCACCCCACTTCTGATGGAGGTGCCATCAGAAGAGGAGGCTTCAGCCGAGGCCCTCCCCACAGGGTCGGGAGAGGAATTCTGGGCTGAGCCTACTGCCCTGGCGCTTGCACAGAGGCGAGGTGGGGGCTCTGGCCGCCCTGTTGGACCTGGGCACTCAGGCCTGGATTGACTTTGAGGGGCCCCCGAAGGGTGAGGAGAGCTTCGATGTGCTCGTGGGCCCTCACGTCGCTGTCGGGGTTTCTGACTCTGGACACCTGTCCCTCACGTCACTGTTGGGGTTTCTGACTCTGGACGCCTGTCCCTCACGTCGCTGTTGGGGTTTCTGACTCTGGACGCCTGCCCCCACGTCACTGTCGGGGTTTCTGACTCTGGACACCTGTCCCCCACATCACTGTCGGGTTTCTGACTCTGGACGCCTGTCCCCCACATCACTGTCGGGTTTCTGACTCTGGACGCCTGTCCCCCACGTCGCTGTCAGGGTTTCTGACTCTGGACACCTGTCCCCCACGTCGCTGTCGGGTTTCTGACTCTGGACACCTGTCCCCCACATCACTGTCGGGTTTCTGACTCTGGACGCCTGTCCCCCATGTCGCTGTCGGGGTTTCTGACTCTGGACGCCTGTCCCCCACGTTGCTGTTGGAGTTTCCTGACTTGACGCCTGTCTCCACAGCAAAGGCGAGTCAACTGTGTTTCGTGCACACACGGCCACAGTGAGAAGTGTCCATTTCTGCAGCGATGGCCAATCCCTCGTGACGGCCTCTGACGACAAGACAGTCAAGGTGTGGTCGACTCATCGCCAGAAATTCCTGTTCTCCCTGAGCCAGCACATCAACTGGGTCCGCTGTGCCAGGTGAGCGTCATCCTTCCCAAAGACCCTTGGAGGGACCTGACGGGGGGCTGCCAGGTGCCAGCATCATGACCTTGGGCAAAGGAGCTGCTCTTCAACCTTCCTGAGCCTCGGCTTCCTTATCTGTGAAATGGGAACAATAACAGTTCTGCCATGGTAAGGCGTTGAGAACTTTCACTGAGCTGAAGCGTGACAAGTAAGTCATCGCGTTGCCAGCCACACTGACCAGGCATCTGTGCTGACGCAGCCCACTGTGAGTCAACAGGGACCACTTATTAGCAATAGCAACTGTAATAAGGAGGTCATGTCAGCACTGCCGCCACACAGGTCCCTCTACTTCCCCCTGGCAGTCCTGCAAGCTGGGTGGTATTGCTCTCCCATTTTGTAGATGAGGAAACTGAGGCTAGAATGGTGCAATGGCTTGCCCCAGAGCTTGGTGGGTAAGTGGTAGAGATGGGGTTGAACCTGACTCTGGCGCTAGGGCTTGTCTAGTTTCCTCTGGGGTGTTCTGCTCCTCAGAGGTTGAATTTGCTCCAGAGCTGCTTGGGGGTGGGGCAGTGCTGGGGGATGGGGTGACCCAAAGGACCTTTCAGGGTCCTAGAACTGCAGACACATGTTCTTGCTTCCGGCATATGCTGTTCCTTTTAACAGAGATCTCACCTGTCAAATCTCTGCTCCAAAGGAAGAAGCTGGGGGTGCCTGGGAACCCTGGGAAACCATGTGACTCAGAGGTCGGCACTGTGGCTGTGTTCTGGGGACCCCATGCAACCAACTTGTTCTCCAGGACACCTGTTCCTTGTTCTGGGAGGTCCCTGATTGCTCTGAGGCCTCACCATCAGGCTTCTGAGAAGAGGAGGGGCCAGGCCAGCAGATGGGTGTCAAGGTCACACCAGCATTTGGTGGTGGGGCCCCAGGACCTCCACCTTGTTGTTGGCAGGTTGTGTTTTGCTGACCCGTTCTCAGAGTCACATGTAGACTCAGGGGACCTGGAACAGGGTAATGATGCCGATGGTGGGCTTCGGGCCACCTTAATGCTCATAGCACCAGCAGTCAGCACGTCCATGCCATGTGCAGTGCCGGGGGCCTCCGTGCCTGCCCCAGCTCACACAGGGGAAGCCACTTGCCCAGGGTCACTCAGGATCGAGTAGGGCATGTGGCCCCGCTGGTTCCCGGGGTCAGGCACTTGGCAGGGCAGGAAGGTGGCTCTGGGGGGTGGTGTGCGGCGCCCATGTTGTCTGCTACTCAGTGGTACGACTTGTGCCCTGTCTCACTCAGGTTCTCCCCCGACGGGCGGCTTATCGTGTCTGCCAGTGATGACAAGACTGTCAAGCTGTGGGACAAGACCAGCCGGGAGTGTGTCCACTCGTACTGCGAACACGGCGGGTGAGTCCCCAGACCATCCTCCACTCGTATCTGCTTAAGAAAAGCACGGACTTGGGCGTATGGAGGCCCCAGGGGCCTCCAGTGGCAGCCATGTGTCTGCTGCTCCCTGTCGCTGCATCTTTTCCTGTGTGGCTGGGAGGTTCAGCCTCATCCCCATCCCCACAAATAAGGGGAGCGCTGAACCTCAAGGTATGTGATTCTTGGCGCCTCCTCTTTTCCCTTTGTTTTCTAGTTCTCAGACTTGTGAGATGTCTGTCTGAACTAAAAAGCACATTAGTGTGTTATCTATGGCGATGGATTTACAAGTAAAAGGCCCTTGTGGCCTTGTAGTGCGTGGTGGCTGTTCACACTGTGCCGTGTCATCGGGAGAGGGAGGGGCCTGCGTCGGGGCAGGGACTCACCTGTTCTGGATTCCTAAATGAACCCTGCTCTTGCCCCCTTCAGTGAGGCTGGGAGCCCCAGGTCAGGGCCCCTCCAGAGAGCTGGCCATGATACCAGCCCCGGTGTCCCCTATGGGTGTACTGAGGGCCCTGCTGGCCCTTCATGTGTGGGCCTCAGCGGGCAGGGCTTGCCTGCCTCCAGCCTGGTGAGGCACCAGCTCTACCTCTGAAAGCCCCGGGTTGCAGACTGACCTTTGGTCTGAAGACCACTATCTTTACTTGTATTTAGAAGTTGATGCTGGGACTTGCCCCCTGGTGAATCCACCCAGGTCACGATCGTCACTGCTTTCACCCTCTCCTTCTCGCTCTCCCTTGGCCATCCGCTAAAGCAGCGGTTCTCAACCTTCCTAATGCCGCGACCCCTTAATATAAAGTTCCTCATGTTGTGGTGACCCCCAACCATAAAATTATGTTCGTTGCTACTCTATAACTGTAATTTTGCTACTGTTATGAATCGTAATGTAAATATTTTTTTGTTTTCCGATGGTCTTAGGCGACCCCTGTGAAAGGGTCGTTCGACCCCCAAAGGGGTTGCGACCCACAGGTTGAGAACCGCTGCGCTAAAGAAACAGGGTGGGAGGGAGGCGTTCTGGGCCGCAGGACAGCGTGACCACATGTGCAGGGATGGGACGGTGCTGGATGTCTTGGGGTCTGTTCTGAGCCAGCGCAGAGCTCCTACAGCACGTGGCGGCCCCTGTCTTTCCAGCTTTGTCACCTACGTGGACTTCCACCCCAGCGGCACGTGCATTGCTGCCGCCGGCATGGACAACACGGTGAAGGTGTGGGATGTGCGGACTCACCGGCTCTTGCAGCATTATCAGCGTGAGTGTCCACGAACGTTGCGGTGGGGCTGGGTGCCTGGGTCTCACTCTTTGCTACGGTGCCTACATGGGCCTGAGGACAGCCCTGGCCGTGGGGAGGGGTCCCGGGTCTGTTAGGCTCTCCAGCGGTGGGCAGTCTGTGGAGTGGCTATCCTGCCTTGGATCCTGGGCCAGGAGATGGAGCCTGCTGCGACCTGGCATCCACTGAGCCCTTTGGTGCCCACTTATGAGGTGGCAGAGTTGCATGCACACTGCAGGGCCAGATGGGGAGCCCCTGATGGGTCTCTTGCCAGGACTCTTCTTGGGGCACCTCTCAGACTGCCCATGCCACTCACCTCCCCCTGTAAAGGAGGCTCTGCCCTCTAGGGCCAAGGTGACAGCCCTTGACCTGTGGTGAATGGGGTGGGTCTGTTAAAGGTGGTCAGTGTTAGTGGGGCATTGGTCACCCCTGGTCCCACGGTGTCCTCCACAGATGTTGAGCCTTGAGCCATATAGAGGGTCAATTTAGCTTGGGACCAGGGTCAGGAACCAGCCCCAGGGATGTGTCCCCCTATTTAGTTGTAGCCCTTGGAGAGGAGGGCAGTGGGAGGTCAGTGTGGGCTGGCGTCAGGCGCCAGGTGGAGGTGGAGGTGGGGGCAGACCAGGGTTTGATTTGGGTGTGGCAGCTGAAGGTGTTGGGGTGTGGAACTGGCCTGAGAGCAGGTGTGACTGGGCAGAGCCGTGAGTCGCCCCAACTGTGGGGACTAGGGCACAGGGGGAACTGGGAGTTGTGCAGGAGGCAAAACCAGGGGAGTGGGCATGTGGGTTCGGGGCTGAGACCCGGAGGGACGGAGCTGGAGTTGCTGGGAGAACTATGGTTGCTGACTTGGGACTAATCATGGACTAGTGGACTCACTTCCAGAATTCACACCTGAAAATGGGAAGGACGTGTCTGGACAGAGGCGTGGGCTTGGGGTTCAGGGCTCTCCTCCCAGCACCACACAAGCCCTTTCTAACCTATCATCAGACACTTGAGGACAGCATGTTTTGTAGGGTGGCCAAGGTGACAGACCTCTCAAGAAGGGGGAGTGGGTCCCAGCCTTGAAAAGCACCGAGTGGAGGGTGGGCTCTGCAGCCAGCCTCAGCACCCTTAGCTGTGTGATGTTGAGCAGGTCACCTGAGTCCTCTGGCCCCCTGGGACATAAGGGCCTGTCTCAGAGGTGTTGTTGGGAAGGTATTGGGTTGGCCCATGTCAGGAACCAGGTATAGCTCCTGTTTAGTGACAGTGACGATGATGACAGTGATGCTGAGTCTCAATCTGGAGTCCGGAGGTCTGATGCCTCCTATGGGCCAGCCCAGTTGGTCGAGGCCTGCAGTACCCTACAGCACCACCAGGTGGCAGGGGCCAGCCACCGGGACGCGTTCTTCCCTCCACAGGGAGCCCTGGGGTTTGCCACTGATGCTGTGTTTCAGGCAGAGGTTTCTAGAACAGCAGCAGCAGGATCTGCCTTCTACTTGGAGGCGATGCCTCTCCCTCCTCTGCTGCAGGCCAGACCTGAGCCGGAGGTGGGGACGGTGGGCAGGTGCAGAGGCGTGCAGGGCGGGAATCCGCCTCCGAGTGTGGGCTCAGCAGGGAGGGCTTGGGCAGGGAGCGATGGGAGGAAGGTGACGAGGCCGTGCAGTGGTTAGGAGCACAGGCTGTTCCCTGCCTGTGAAGGGGGTGGTAATGGTTCCTTCCTTACGGGGTTTGTGAGGACCAGAACACAGTGCTAGGGCGTGGTTGGCACCACAGGAGTCTTCCCACTGGGAGGAGAGGCTCTCTTGGTGACCCTGGGAGCACCCAGGCCCACCTCTGATGGGTCAGGAGCCCGGGGTGCAGCCGCAGGTACCCATTGGGGAGGACCTTGAATGCCATGCTGTGGCCCAGGGTCCAAAGATGCAGCCTGGCTGGCAGTGCTGGGACCAGCTGGTCACTCGAGTGAGGGGCATATGAGGACAGCCGTGCCGAGAGTCCGCTTGGGCAGGAAGCTGATGAGCCTGGGTGCCCGGTGGGTGGGCAGTCTGCGCCTGATGCCTGAGTGAGGCCTGGGCATCAGAGTGGAGCAGGCTCAGGCCCAGGGGACGGGCTTAGGAGACTGACCAGAGGCAGAAGCAGATGCTGGGGGCTGGAGGGGCCAGCGGGGCCCAGGGACCTTGGGCGTTTAAAGGGCTGAGGCCACATCCTGGGTCCCTGTGACAGAGGGACCACAGAAGGAAAAGGTCTACAAAGCAGCCAGAGTGAGGGCCGGGAGCCCCCTCTGCCGGCACGGGAAGGCTGAGGGGGGCAGAGCCAGGGGCTCGTGCAGAGGTGGTCAGGAGAAGGTGGTGCAGAGCCGTGGAGCAAGAGGCTGCGGCAGAGAGGTCCCTGGGGTGCTTGGGGGAGCAGGCTTGGCGATGGGTGGGGGTGGGAGATCAGCGACTGGCATCAAGGACTGAGTCCCGAGGGGACCTGAGGTGCAGGAGGCTGGCGGGCTCCGGGAGAGATTTCAGTCTGTTTGGCTGCTGTGCCTTCCTCTTGTGACAGAGCCCCTCCGTGACCCTGCAGCATCTTTTCCTCAAGCCGCCCCTAATATAGATCAGAGGCTTTGGGGGGGCTCGGAGTACCCCATAAACAGCTAGTTCTCTCTGAGCTCCTTGCACAACGCAGGGCACATGGTGGGTGTTCACAGGGCAGCAAACTCATCCCAGCACCCTAGGTTCTCCTCTGAGGCTCAAGGAGAACCTGGTGGGGGGCAGGGTGGGGGGACACACCCTTCACCCTCCTTGCTGCGGGAGGGACCAGGCCAGGTCTCAGGTCAGGTGGCCCCCAGCGAGCTCCATGGCAGACCCCCTCCCCGAGAGGCTCTCCCCAGCCCCCGGCAGCAGCTGCTCCCCATGCCCGGAGGCGCAGGGGGATCTGTTCGGAGGCTGACTCCCCGAGAAGGGCTCTCAGTCCTCAGGCAGCGGAAGCTGGAGCTGTTTTCTGTCCCTGACTCCTCGGAAGCCCAGGGGAGAGTTTTTAAGGACCCAGTGACATCCAGTGTCTCCCCTGGTGACTGTGGATGAACACCAGGCACTCCTGAGTGAGCTTTGGGCGCGTGAGGCTGTTGGGCTCTTTTGAGAGAATTTGGTTCGTGATACTGCGGTGTGTGGCCAGCCACCCTATAGTCGAGCTCCGCGGAGGGCACTTCCGCCCGTGTTGGGTGGTTGGCGTCACTGTGGGCTACAGCAGGCAGCTGGTGCCGTTTGTCTCAGGCAGGGAGCTGGTTGGCAGGGAGCAGCCCTGATTTCCCGAGTGGGCGAGGCTGCTGGAACCCTGGGAGTGCCCGTCCCGCGAAGGTGGGCTGGGCTCCATATGCTGCGAGCCCACACTAGGACTGTTCAGACATCTGAGCAGCAATCCGCGTGCTGGTTTCCAGGCACGTGCAGGCCCATCATCCAGTGACAGGCCTGGGTGGTCAGCAGGACAGGCCTGCCCCCCATTTCACAGGGGAAGTTTGAGGCTTGCCCATGGTCACACAGCTGGGAAGCTGGGAATGTGGGTCTGCGACTCAGGGCCCCTGAGCCTGGCGTCCGTCCACCGTCCCATGCTGGGCTGCCTGCACCATGTTGATTGTAGTCATTTACTTGCCCAGGCCCCGGGGAGGGTTGGCTTGGCCCTCTCTGGAAGCTCCAGCTAGAGCTCAGGGTCGCAGGTTCTCAGTCCATGGGGCCTCAGCAGGCCATGGGGACCCCCCCCAGGTGTGGTCCCAGAGGGTTTCTAGCAGCTATGCAGCCGGCAGGCAGGCCTGCACCCTTCGCTTGGTGTTTTGAGACCAGAAAGCTTCATCAGAAGGCAGTGCACTGACTCCCCGACCCGGCCAGCTCACTGGCGCTTTCCCACCACCCCCACGTGGTGCTGACGTGACATTCGCAGAGAGGAGTGTTCCGAGTGCCCTTTCCTGCTGGGATCAGAGCACCTTCGTGGTGTGAATCCAGAGGCTCCGTGATCCCAGAGCTGCCAAGTCACTGGTAGTGCCAGCTGCTCATCATGAGAAGCTACCCTGGGCGGTGGTGGGGTGTGGGGGTGGAGCGTGCCCCAGAAGGTACCTCCTGCTTGGGCACCTGGGGTTTCTCTGGGACCCTGGTGACTTGCAGACGTCGGGGGGATAATAGCCCGGAGCCCACAACTGTGTCTAAGGAGCAATCTGCCATCAGTTACCACTGACACCTGCCGTAGAGCCACGAAGAGGGCCTGCAGCTTTGGGCTTGAGGAAAAGCGGGTTGCTTGTGCACAGTCACTGCTCGGGCTTCGTGATGAGAGGCTCACCCCCTTGGAGGGTAGCCGAGCCTCTGTGGGGGACTATTGTGCAGGGACTGTTAAATCTTATGATGAGGTCTCCCTGGGTGGCCTCACCACCTCTCCAGAGCCAGAGAGGCTGCCCCAGGCTGGTGGGGCCAGTGGACAGGCAGGAGAGCGAGTGGGGGAAGGCGGGTCGGCCGTGGTGTCTGGTGCACCCCCCAAGCCTGGCATGCCAGACTGAGCTCCTTTCTGGAGTGAACGGTTCCAGATGTTCCCCCCCAGCCAGGAGGCCTTTGATGTTGCTGCCATTTATAGAGGAGCAGGGCTCCTGGTACCCTTCCTCTAGGGGGTGTTCCTCCCGTGGGTGGGCTTGACCACGCAGGAAGCCCTGGTGTGGTGTCCACACCCTGACCCCACCACCCCGGTGGTGCTGGGGTGCCCTGGGCTCCCCTCCCCTGATCCAGCCTCCTGCCCCTGGCTGCACCTCTGCCAGCTTTGTCTCAGGTGGGGCAGGGGTGGCACTCGCCCCAGCGCAGGCTGCCAAGGGCTGCGGAAACAAGAGACGCGCACCTTCTCCAGGGCTCAGGCAGGTGTTCCGGGAGCAGCATTTAAGGGGCGATTGGGGCATGCTGAGGTGGGTGCAGCGTAGGTTGCCTCTCAGGGTGGTCCTGCTGTGGGGCTCAGGGGTCATGGGTGGACAAGACCCCTGGGGGTGGGGGTCTCACAGTGCTTCTGCCCGCCTCCCCTCCACCCCACCCCCACTTCACTGCCAGTGTGAACCGATGTTCTGGGGAGCATCGCCGGTCGCTCAGGAGTGCAGGGCCTGGCTCTCAGCCTATAGATGCACAACCGGAAGAGCCTGCAGGCCCACACTGAGCTAGGCCTGGGTCTTCTCCCTCCCTGAACGTGACAAGGATTCACTTTTCATCATTCACTCAGTTGTATAATCATCGTGACTATTCTCGTGGTGGTTAAAAAAATTATCCTGAAAGAATGCAGAGCAAAAATCACAAGTCCCTCTATTGCTGTCCTCCCCAGAAATAATCCCAGCCTCTCTCTGGAGCCTCTGTTCACATGCGTCCTCTGGGTGTGCGCACGTGTGTGTGTGTGTGTGTGTCCGTGTCCGTCCCTGCACGCCTGGTCAGTGACAGTCACACTGTGCATTATGATGTTATTTCTGCTACTGCCTATGGCTGGCGCTGTTTAGTTCCTGCTGGGGCCGGCTGTGGCTTCATCCCTCTGCTTTCCATGCCCCAGTTCTGGTCAATACCAAGGAAGCTGGCCGCTCCCCTGTGGCCTCGAGTGTACACGGCGGTCAGCCGTGAATATCATCTTCCAGGAAGCCCTGCCTGTGTCCCCTCAGTGTGCCCGTTCCCATACCCAGGCACCTCAGCACATCATCTGGGCTGGTGTCAGGGGCTCCGTGCACCCCGGGGGCTCTGCTGAGGGTCGTTGTGTGGTGGGTGTGCTTACTGGTCCAGCAATGGTTCCTGCAAGTGGCCTCACAGCGCCAGGATGAGGGGTTGCTTCTTGAATTTGTGGTCACGTTTGGGGCAGTTCTGGCTTGGTGGGGTCATGGTTATCTTAGCTCCCTCACCAGGTCTGTCGTAATGGGTACACATGCACCAAGGTCTTCCTGAGAAGCTGTAACGTAGCTGGTCCACGCATTGCCGTCCTCATGTGGCCTGCCTGGGTCCAACTCACTCACTCACCAACCGCTTTCTGAGTCAAGGACCCAACACAGCCCCTGCCTGATGAACATGTGGTCTCATGGGAGACCCAGGCATGAATCACACAGCTACACATAAATGGAAAACCCCTGCTGTGAAGAGTGCACCTATCGGAGACTCGGGGTGCTTCAGGAGGACAAGCAAGGGGGCGGCCCACAGCGAGAGGTCAGGGGAGGCTTCCCTGAGGAGGTGACTGAGCAGTGAGCTTCAGGTCAGGGGAAGAGGAAGGCAAGTCTCCTGGGCACGCGGGGAACAAGGGCTTGAAAGGTTCCAGCGCCAGGGAGCTGACAGGAGAGGATGGGCGGCCAGGTCTTGGAGAGCGAGGGACACCAGGGTAGATGGCTGGGCTTGGGCTAGGGTAGTGGGAAAAGAGTCATGGGCGGGGTGAAGTGGCAGGGGACACCGGGGGCAGTGGAGAGGGATGTCGAGGGCTCACCCTGAGTAGAGGCCTCAAGGCTTGGCCTGGTGGCATGCCCGCAGCACCCCTCACACGTGGGTGCTCTGATGCAGGGGGTACAGGCTCAGTGTGTCAAGGTGCTTGTTCAAGGTCAAGAGATGGGCCAGTGAGGACGCCGGGATAGGAACCCAGGCCTGACTGGCTCCTGATAACGTGTCTCAGCCCTCCGCTCGCCTGCCCCCACACCCTCTCCTACAGGGCAGGGACGTTCGATGGCATTCCCAGGGTTCGCTTTTCGTTGGCCTTCCCTAAAGCAGCCGTGTGGAGACAGAGCAGGTCACAGCGGGTCACTTGAGCTCCGTGTGGTGGCAGAAGTGGAGGGGTCGCTCCATTTCTTGGCCGTGCCCGCCCTCTGCCCTTGGCTCGGATGAGTCTCCTCCTGTCCTTGATTGTGCTGCTCCCCTGGGAATCCTGTGGGGCTCCCCACAGCTCCTCTGAGCGATGGCCACCCTGGTGTAGCCCCAGGCTGAGCCTCGGTTGGCCCTGATTGCCCATCTTCAGGCTTCAGCTGTGCCCCCAGCCCACCAGCCGGCACCTAACTGGCGTCCCTCCCGCAGTGCACAGCGCCGCGGTGAACGCCCTCTCCTTCCACCCGTCGGGAAACTACCTGATCACCGCCTCCAGTGACTCGACCCTGAAGATCCTGGACCTCATGGAGGGCCGGCTGCTCTACACGCTGCACGGGCATCAGGTGAGGGCGTGGGCCTGCCGCCCGGGCGAGTGGGGCCCGAGCAGGGCTGGGTTCCCCGAGGCAGCCCTTCCCTCGGTGCCCACCGGGAGTGGTGTCTATGGTTCCCTCACTGCCTGGGTTGTGGGGTGAGATGCAGAAACAGGCTTGTCCCCCACAAGACCTGTGACCTCCGTGGGACCTGGCCCTGCAGCTGAGAAGGGAGTACAGGGGTTCAGGGGTAGGAAGTGGGCGGGGAGGCCCCTGGACGTGGTTGGCAGATTTCCCTGGGGGGCTGAATGCAGTCCATCCCCTCATGACCTCAGGCATCCCTTGGTCCAGCGGTTGAGTGGAGCCCTGGAACCCACGCCCTAAATTGCTTTGGGGTCTCCCGGGGTTCTGCAGCCGTTGACACCTTTGGAGACAAAACAACAAGCGGGAGGGAAGTCTTCTGTGCATTTTTTGGGACTCCCTGGACTCCTTGTATGGGCAGTGGGCAGGCGTGGGCCCTGTGGGTGGCTGTGTGAGGGGATGGCAGTGGCTCTCCCCAGAAGCTGGCCTGGGTGTGGCCTGTCACACCCCCAACCAGGGAGTTGTGGCTGAGCTGTCTCCTGCTGAGAGGAGCAGGTGAAAGCATGTCTCCTGTCATGATAGAGGCATCACACCCAAGTGGGACAGGAGGTGCAGACACCAGTTTTCCAGTTCGTCTGCTTCCCCACCTGCGAGCAGCGGGCAGATAGGATGGAGAGAGGGGACAGGCTCTTGAGGGCTGCGTGAGGCCCTGGAGGGCTCGTGTGTCTTGGGCCAGCAGCCGGCTGTGAGGTGGCTAGCCCAGGGCTCTCGGGAGCCCATTGCCGTCAGAGTCGGGATGCACAGGGGCCGTTGGCAGTGGCAGGGGTCGGGCATTGGCCTTCTGCTTCCGTGGGACCTGGAGACTGCTTGCTGCCCTCGGCCATGGTGACTCCTTGTCCTCCCTGTCAGAGACATGTCTGGTGCACAGGGCACCAGCGGGCCTGTTCCCCAAGTGGCCGGCACGTCCAGGTATAATGTACAGCCACTGGGCTGGGCTGAGCCGACTGCTGCTCCTGCCAGAAGTGTGTCAGGAGCCACCAAGGTTAGCCCTTTGGCAAGCCCGTCGTTTGGACCCACCTGTAACCAGTTTGGGATCTTACTGCCAGGAGTGCGTTTGAAATCCACGTGAGTGCTTGCTTCCTCCCTTGCTTCCCACAAAAAGAAAGAAGAAGCAATGCGCAGACACACCATGCAGACAGACGCCTGCCCACGGATCCCAGGGCCTTTTCTTGCCCTGTGAGGGCTCCTTAAACAGCTGGCTCACCCCACGCCTGAGAACCCTTGAGTGCGTCACCTGACATGGCCTTCCTGTGATCAGGCCCAGCACCAGGCATGTGAAGGACACCTGCCAACATTGTTCTGGAGAACTGGAACGGGCCAAGTCAGACTGTGCGGTTGCTTGTCTGGTGTTGAACCTGGACATGGGGCTAGGCTGAGAGAGAGCTGGCAGTCTGGGCATATGGAGGATGGGCAGTGGCTCCCCAGAATCGTTTCTTCCTCAGGGCCCCAAGCTCACAGTGCCCAGAGGAAGGGAGAAGAAAGAGAAGTGAGCTCACCCTGTCTACATTGCCGTCTGTGTGCCCATTCATCCTCCACTCCCCAGCTCACTGGGCTGGGCACCAGGGATACGAAATGGATGTCGTGATCTCACCCCCTGGGGCTCATAGCCTGGGAAGTGGGGGGCTCCTGCGGGGGTCAACAGAGCTGACATGGCCTGAGATGTGTTAGGAGACCGGGAGAGGCAGACTGAGTCTTACTCGGTGCTTGGAGGGTTGGGTGAAGCTCGGTGGGCTTCTCCCAGGATACATCTCAAATGCAAGTGGGGGTCAGAGGGTGAGGCTCAGATTCGTTTCTGCTCCTGCAAAGTCCCTATCAGTTACAGAAACTTAGGATCACTGCTCCCTGGGGCACCCATGACAGCAGCTCCACTGTGGGGAGCCCCGGGGCCTGGCTTGCCCTGACCCCACTCCATCCCTACACTTGCTTTAACCTGTGGCCTCTCCCTGGAGAGCTGCTTCTCCTTCCTCCTGCTCCTTTTCCTCAAGACCTGCGGTGAGGTCTCCATGGTGGCGGCAGCTCGGTGTGGGGGTTCTACAGCTGGCCGCTCGTGCAGACCTGCCCACTTCCTTTGCCCTCTCTGCCTGTGAGGACTTCCTTTTGGGGTGCTTTCTGATGACAGGGAAGCAGCCTCATGACTGGAGTGTCTTGCCTTAGGGCTGATGGGGTGCCCATGTGGGGTGCGTGTGGAGCAGGGCTGCCTGAGACAGCCTGTTTGCCCTAAGCAAAGCTCCACTCGCCCTCTGTGTCCCCGGGTCTGCCAGGGTCTGCTGTGGCTTCTTGTCAGGCCTGGCTCTGCCCCTGGGTTTGGGGCAATTCGAGTCAGCTAAGAGCACCTTCCTGAGGGAGCGTGGTACAGTTGAGCAGCCTTAATTTGGGCATTTGGGTAAAACAGCCTGCCAGCCAGACCAAATATACCTGGTGCTTATGGAGAGCTGAGGCTGAGAACGGGGCTGCTTTGCTCAGCCCTGGGGGGGAATCTACGGTGGCTGGGCCTGTGTTGTCACCGGGGAGCTGCTGTTCTCCGGGACGGTCCTCACTTGGTTTGTGAGATGCTGTCGCAGATGTGGGAGAAGTTCTGTGACACCAGTGTTGACCCCTGTGGGGCATGTATGGCCTCTGCTGAGCCCCAGGGACAGGGCAGGGGTGTGTCATGGGGCTGCTGAGGGGCAGGCTGGAGCTCCGCTGGGCGCTTTGTGCAGCTGTACCGTCCTACCGTCCTCGGAGGCTCCCCGTTGTGACATCCGTTCCCACCCCGTCCTTCTAGGAAGATGTGCACCTAGGCTCTGGTGACTTGGGCTTTCACACTGTTCCGGAAGTGGCTGACGCCTCCTCGAGCACAGCTGCCACCAGCCACTTCCTGAAGTATGTGGCTGAGCAGCCCCAGGGCTCCCGGTGGGGGAGAGGAGGGTGGGGGAGTGGGGGTCCCAATGGGTCCCAGGTGCCCCAGGATTCTGTCCCACAGATGAGGATGGCAGATCTGAAACACTTTTAAGTCCAGGTGGAGAAAGTGAGGCCTGGAGAGTGGGCTGGACTTGTAGGGGCCTCGGCAGCTTAGGACGGCAGAGCTGGGACAAGTACCCGAGCCCGCCCTTCCCACTACTCGCTTGCCTCGCGCATACGGCTTTTAGAAGTTGCCATTTCACTCTTGTGAAACCTACAGGTTACTGGTCTGTGCAGGAGGCCAGCAGGCCTGTGGCTGTGTGTGTCCCAGCCTCGCTGCTACATGACCCTGCTCTGGTCCGGCGGGAGGGAGCCCCACGATCCTTCAGTTTGGACTTAGAGGACCTGCTTATGACAGCCCCAGGCATAGCCCAAAGAAAGGGCTGTTGTGTTTTTCTGTCAGATGGAGCAGCCCCGCCTTGCTTCCAGTCCCACACCTGTGAGAAAGGATGCCTTCAAAGACCTTGACCAAGAGAGGGCACTCTGTGCCTGGGAAGTGGCCTGTGTGAAGACACCACAGTGGGGGAAGGTCAGGGGAGGCAGTGCTGTTGGGCTGGGCTTCCCTTGTCTGGGTTGAGGCCGGAAATGCCATTCAGTTGCCTCTTAAGGCACAAGGGCACCAGGACGGATGCACATGCCAAGTGCCAGGCTATGATCAGGTTCACCCAATGCAGCCGGGGTCTCCAGGGTTGGGCCCAAGGACAGTGCGTCAGCTCGGGAGTCCCACCAGGCTGGCAGTTTGGTGGTTCTCTGGCCCACGATTGGCCACGTTCCCCGCTGGCCTGTGTGAGGCTGGCCCACTTGGTGGGCCTGGGGGGGACATCAGTTACAAGTTATTGCGAGCCCGAGGGGTTCTGGAGCTTCTCTCCTGCGGTCCTGGCTTTGGGACGCTGAGCTGCACAGGGCCATTCAGAGAGTGTCTGGGGACTGAGGCGTCCTGCACATGGGAGCTCAACGCCATGAATGCTATACCCAGGGACAGCTGCCGGGCTGCTGCTGGGGCCCGTGTGGCTCTTAAGAGGCCTGAGTGTCATCGAGTGATTTGGGTGGCAGGCCAGAGAGCTGGCTGGGCCCTTTGCTGGCTGCAGCCCATGTGGACTCTGGGCCCTCAACAGCCCTGCTGCTCTAGCTGCGAGGGACTCAGTGATGACGAGGCAGTGGGTGCCACGCAGATGCCTTTGCCAGGCAGGGGCAGGGGCCAGGCTGAGGAGCCTGTTGGGGCTGAGGGGTAGGGTACCTCTCTACCTACCCCTCTACCTCCAGCTACATGTGCCCACTGGGTGGAGAATGGACAGAACAGGCAGGTGCTGCCAGCCTGTACATAGCACGTGGCCCCCCCTTCCTCTGCCTTCACCCCTGGGAATACCGGGTGATTTCCCTCTCGGTGGCTTGGGCTGGTAAAGCGCCTGCATGGTCACCCTTGCCAGCTTTGACCGAGGCCAAGTGCTGGGGTGCGTTGGGTTGGAGAGGGGTCGCATAGCCTCGTCTGGTGGGTGACGATGCCCTGCTTTCTAAGGAAACAGCCCAGCATTTCCAGGAATAAATAGCTTGTAATCCCCGTTTCTGGGTTGGGATAACCAGGGGCTCTTCCATCTTGTTCAGCCATAAAAGTCTGAGCCTCGGGGCTGCGGACAGGAGCAAAGGGCTTGGGCATCAGGGCCAGACTGTCCCAGCTTTGCCTCTGATGCTGTGACGCTGGGCAAGACCTTGACTTCGCTGAGTCTGCCCTCCTCTGTAAGTGACTCCTAGATCTGCCTCATTCTAGGAGAGGACGTGTCTGCATTGCCCAGCTCCAGACACAGTAGGTCCTTACAGATACCAGCCCCTTTCCATATCAGCTCTGAGGACGTGACCTCATGCTGCTCTAGGTGACAGCCTTTCAAGCTCCTGTTATGGCCATGGTCCTGGCCCACGGCGGGCAGGCAGCGTTTGTTAGGAAAACGAGCCCGAGCCCGTGGTAGGTAGGGGCTTCTGATGACTGGTGGGCCCAGGGTCATAGCCGTCAGCCCCTCTCCCCCGCCTCCCCCAAGGGGATCGCCTGTTTCCCCTCCTCCCACCCACCCACAGAGTCTCGCAAGGATTTATCTGGCTTTTTATTTGTTTAGGGTTGTTTTCATCTCCCCCAGAACTTCCTGTTGCGTTGGCTTCTCTTTTGTCACACAGTTCCTGAAATCCATCCCCTGGTGGCTGGGCTGTGGACTCCCCTGACCAGACACGCCCCCTATGCCAGCTGCCCTGAGTGGGTTTGGCCTGCTGGCCCCTTGGTCTGTTTGCAGTGTCCTTATTAGCCCCTCCCACCAGGTCCAGGGCCTGAGTCCCAGAGGACAGGCAGGGTATCTGAGGGCACCGGGTTGGCTGGGGGTTCCAGTGCCCTCTCGAGGCTCTGTAGAGTCTTGCTGTGGAAGGTGCCACGACCATGCCAGTGAAGCCGGAGGAAAGGGAGCCGCTGCTTCTTGCTGGGTCCAGTACAGAGCCGGGTGTCAGGGCCGCCCAGGAGCCTCCTCACCCAGTCTCACCCCACGTGTAGCATGAGGAGCAGGAGAGGGCAGGGCTTTCCCAGCAACCACAGTCGTTGTTCGAGGCCTTGGGCCCTGAGCAGAGCCCCCACAGCTCTGTGTGGCAAGCGTGGGCGCAACGTGCCAGAAACAGAGATTTATTTTTCTGTATTTTCTGAAACATAATCTCAAACCATGCTCATTTAATTTAAATCCCCAGGGCTATTTGGGAGAGGATGGTGGGCAGGCCGTGGGTGCGGAGTTAAATCTGGTGTTTGTGGCTGTGCAGTTGGTGTTCGTGTGGCTGTACAGTGACGGAGCTGCACAGAGAGCAGGGGACACGTGGTTCCACATGCCCAGCTGGTCCATGGTGGGCTAGCAGCTGTCACTGAGAGCCTGGAACCCAACCCCGGGCTGCTGTCTGCTCAGAGGCTGGGTTGTTGTGAAACCACGGGCTCAGAGCGGGCCCACTGATGTGACGGGAGCATGTGCCTTGCCGAGGCCTGGCTGGGCCTGGGGCAGTAGCCACAGGGGGGCTTGACCCTGCAGGAGAGGCAGCAGTGTGACAGAGTGGCCTGGGGCATGTGGGCTGCCCCTCAGGCTGCTCTAGGGGGAAAGGAAGCTCATACCTCCTGTCTTGGATAGTTGAGTACCTCCTAGGAGAGGTGAGGGGACATCAAGAGGGAGAACAGCTCATTTGCTCCAACATAAGTAACCAAGAGGTCAGCTGAGCCCCCTGTCCCCTGCCTGCAGCCCAGGGTTGAAAGCTGGGAACGGTGTCCCCGGCCAAGGTCAGGAGAGAGCGTGGGCATTCCTGGGCAGCAGCTCCTCACAGAGGCTGCTCTAGTCCATGGGGTCTCTGCTCAGACACAGAGCCAGCCCACAGCAGATGCTGGTAAGCAAGTGTAGGAGCCTCCCTGGCGGGGGTTTGTGGGCGACTCAGCCTAAGCATGGGGGGCACAGACCAGCGCACCCATGCCAGAGGCCTCTCGGGCCCTTTTTAAATAAACATTCTTTTTTTACCTCTGACTTGGGACATGTGGTGTGACATTCCTATTTGTTCGCTGGTAGCCACCAAAAATCTTTTCAAAACCCTTTAGAGGTGGTGGGAGTGGGTACCTGGCTGGGCCTTTGCCAGCATAACTGTTCTGGGCACAAGGGTGAAGTTCAGGCATGCAGGGAGTCAGGCAGGAGGCGTGAGAGAGGGGGGGTCAGAACAAGCTGCAGAGCCCGCGGATGAGTCCCCAGGAGCTGTGGGACCCACACCCCACGCGCCCCTTTGGTTTGCCTTGTTTGTGAACTTTGTCCTCTGATGCTTTGCGTTTAAGAGTGGAGAGACCAGACAGTTGGGTCTGCTGGGTCTGGAAGCTGGCAAGGCAGAGGCGGTGTGTGGTGAAGTGGCTGAGTGTGGGTCCAGCTAAGCTTGAGGGCCACGTGTGACTGGGATAGGAGGGAGGAGGGGGTGGAGGCCAGGCTGTGTCCTAGGCTCGTGATGATAAGCAGGATCATCTCACGAAAGATTCTGGCTGGGGCGGGAGGAAGGACCTGGTGGGGCCTGGGACTCCAGGCAGATGGGCACCTCTGGCCATCCGGGGCAGGCTGGACTCCACGCTACAAGAAGGCCCAGCCAAGTGCTGCTGCCCAGTCACACTCGGGTCACTGCAGACGTCACTGGATCATGCCTAGGGGAAGAAACAGCTTGGCAACAAACACCCCAGCCCCGAGTCTCTGGACTAATGCATCAAGAGTGACTAACAAAAAGGGATAAGCCGCAACAAAGGCAAAACGATCTTAAAGAACATGCGTCCAGCCTGACCACTGTCCGTGATGAAGCAGATGCCCCGAGCCCCACGGTTTGGAAACTGGAACGCACTCCGGAATCACTGCTGTGCTGAAGAGAAAATCCCAGTGGGAACTGAACTCTTGGAGGTGAATGATCGTGAGAACATAGCATATTGGAAACTTTTGGGATCTAAAGTGCTGGTGATCAGAGGCGAATTTGTAGCCTTAAGTGAATTTATTTAAAACCAAGAAAGACTGAAAAATAACTGAATTAAGAGCTGGATGCAGAAAGAGCTGAAAGGGTGCAGAGAAAGAGAAGACCTCAAGCTCACCGTGTCTGCGGGGCAGTGAACGGTCAGCTGTGCAGTTAGCTTTGGTCAGGAGCCGAGGCCGCTGGAAGGCCGACTGAGGGGCTGGCGAGATGACTGTCAGCAGGGGGAGCCTGTCTGCATTCCAGTCGCGGGCCCCACAGCAGAGCCCGGGGCCAGCCGCTCTCTGGACTGTGCTCTGGGTGCCCAGGGCAGCTCGCCTGAGCCCCTGACAGACGCGTCGACAGACGGACACGGGAGCCGAGTAGACCTCTTGAAACGGGCACCGTTGGGAAGGACTGCAAGCCTCACCCCTCGAGAGTTGCCTCGTAGCTCACTGTCACTCGTGCCATTCCTGGAGTCTCCCAGCACTTGGACTCGGGAACGAACGTTCCAGCACTTCCTGCCTAGAGGGTTCCCAGCACCTGCTTTCTAGTCCCGAATCAGACACCTTGTCCCCAGCTTGCCATCTGGTGGTTGAGAGATGGCAGGAAGGGTGACTAACCCATGGATATTTGTTTGGTTTCTTAGTTGCTGTGACTTCTTGGAAATTGGCCATTTCTCAGCCAGCACTGGCCAGGCGAGGAGCCCAGCTTCTTGGACACTCCTTGTCCTGGTTTCCCTCCCTTTTCTCTCTTCCCTCTTTGTGTTTCCTCAAAATGAAAATAGTTTTGTTGTTTTGGTTTTTTATTGATGTGGCAACGCCACACACTTGTTAAAAATTCAAAGTATGGGAAATTACAAAGATTCCCAAGTAAAAGCCACCTGAAATTGTTACACACGCGCGCACACACACACCCCACACCCCGTAGGTCCTCTGAACCTCGTTAGCCCTCAGTGACTGTCACCTGGAAGGGCATCTGAGTGGCGCACGACCTGCCCCTCCCACACGCTGCCTCACGGCCGGCAGCTTTGCACCTGGCGTCACACTCACTGTTGTGATTGGACATGGTCCCTGCCGATAAGAATGGATCTCCTGTCCTGTTGGTGGCCGCACAGGACTCCCTGTGATTGCCGGCCCGCCCGGCGCCCTGCGAGGGAAGGCAGGGAGGGGCGCAGGCTGGAGGCGTGTCTGCCCTAGGGACAAGTCACCCTTAGGAAGGGTAAACAAACCCACCACCTCCGAGGACCACATGGGTCAGCGTAGGCGAAGTGCTCCGAGCCAGCCCATGCGCCCAGCGCTCGCTGGCCTGGACTTACCTTCTCTTCAGCACCCCGTTACGGGCACCTCAGAGAGGAGGAGCTGAGGGCCACTTCTGGAAGCGCGGGCGGACGCCTCTCCCCCTGCCCAGTGCACCTGGGCCCTGCGGGCAGCCCTGCACCTGCCTGGCCTTGCTCCATGACCTCGGGTCCCTTTTCCAGCCCGCAGCTTGTCTGGTGTTTTCTGGCACCGAGTGGAAGGTGCTCCCCACTGCCCCTCTTGTCTGTGCGTCCAGCCCTCTGTCAGCCCCACTGCTGGAGACACCCATGTGGGCACTTGGGCTCTTGCTGCCCTCCTTCCTTGCCAGGAGATCATGCCCTCACCCCATGCCTGGACATGCTCCCCGGCCCTCAGCACTGCCTGGCACAGGCCTGGCATCACTCTTCCAGTGGTTGTGGGACCTTCAGCACCTGGGAAGCCAGAGTGGCCTATCTCCTCCCAGGTCCTGAACGTAAGGACAGTGACCTGCACGTTTGAGGACGCATCCCCATTGCTTCTGTGCCCGGGGACCTTTAGGAACCCCCTCCCCAGCCTCCTCCTGCCCTGGCTCTGGCTGGTGGTGTCGCCTCGACTGTGCCCTGCCCCTCCTGGGGCTCCGGTCAGCTCAGGGTGCTATGGGGAAGAGTGTGCCCAGGGTCGGCCCGGTGCTGGGCCTGGGAGAGGTCTGCGTGCCTGTGACCACCGGCTTCTCCTGGGGCAGTGTGGGCAGTGATGCCGCCCCGCAAGGCTGCCAGTGTGGACTGCCCTCATTCCGCTCTTCCACCCACGACCCCATGGTCTGGCCTTTGTCCTGTCAGTGGTGCTCAGGACCAGAGGTCTCGGCAATGGCGTGCACGGCTGGACACCCGTGGGTTTCTCGGCCAAAGGCTGGGGAGGCCCGTGGGCTGAATGAGGCCCTCAGCCCTTTGTTCTGCGGCTGCGCTCACCCGGGAGCTTCTGGTTTCTTCATGTGCATTTAGCATTTCGAGCAACCTGCGGTGTTTGTTCTTTCTCATTTCTCCTGACAGGGTCCAGCCACCACTGTTGCCTTCTCAAGAACGGGAGAGTATTTTGCTTCTGGAGGTTCAGATGAACAGGTAAGTAAAGAATGACCTGAGGAATCTCCGCTGATACTGATGGGAACAGAACAGGAGGCCGAGGCGTCTTGGGAGTGGACGGGTTTCCCCAGCATCCTGGGTGGCTTTCAGTGACCGCGAAGGCTGGGGCTTGGGGTGGGGTGCTCAGACCCAGGGCCCTGGCCTCCCCAGAGCAGGTCTCCTGCAGGTGCGAACCCCGGGGCCAGGCCGCATCTCACAGCCCTCACTGCTCAAACCAGCGTGGGCTGGAAGGAGTCTGGGCTATTGTTACCATGAGAAAGTGAAAGCAAAGTTTTTAGCAACTCCTTTCTCCTGATTATAAATGAATAATTACCATATTTTGGGGTGTACAATGCACTCCCCATGTTTTTGGCCCAAACTTTCAGGGAAAAAAATCTTTCTTTTAATTTTTTAATTTAAATTTTTATTCGTTTACATTTAGGTACTTGGTTTTTGCATTATAAAGGAATTTTAGCTTTTATTTTTTAATGTGATGGTACAAGAAATTTTATGTAACAAATAATTACAAAACACAAGAACAAATACAAGGTATAAGAAATTTTATGTACTGTTAACAAATTTATGGTATTCACGCATCATAGAGGAAGAGCTCTTCATCACTGCAAGTTTGTCATAAGTTCAACAAAACCGATGATTGTATTCCAGGGTATTATTTTGAATATGGATATCGTTATTGATTTCTATAGTTACACTTTTAACTCATAAGCATAAATAAAAGAATTAAAAACCATTTATATAGATACAGAATTAGTACTACCCATGTATAATGTGCATCCTTATTTTTCCCTCACAAATTTGGGCAAAAAAGTGCACATTATACACGGCAAAATATGGTAGGTAATTATTGGATACTTACACCTTATTTAGTCCTCACAGCAGCCCTGTGGGTCCTGCCGTCTTATTGTCCATTCTCTGGGCAGGGAAACTGAGTCTCAGCAGCTGGCCTGCAGCCTCCGCCTGCTATGTGCAGTCCAAGGGGTCAGCGTTTTCAGGCTCCATGGCTGCAGAGAGGCACGTGTGAGGAGGTCCTGTCCCACTTTGTCACCCTGTCTCCTGGAGGGCACCCTGCCCCTGGGGTCTGGCCTGGAGCCTGGCATTGGGAAGCTCAGGGCCGTTAAAGAGACCACCTGTTGGAAATGTCTCTCCAGGTTCCCATGCAGCGCTGTTTGTCCAGAAACAAAAGGTGGCTGTTCTGGGCTACTCTTGACCTGATGGGTCACCCAGAATGTCCCTCCCCTTGATCCCTGGCTTCACGGCTGTGACTGCTCAGCCCAGGAAAGTCCCATTGGCCTCCCAGGGAGCCCAGCCCCAGCCCAAAGGACTGGTTTAAGTTGAGTCTCTACGAGCGAAGCAGAGGATGGGGGCCCTTTGAGCACAGCAGGCATCTTCTCACAGCTACACCAGCCCCTGTGCTAGCCAGACAAGGAGGAAGGCAGAGGGGCCCTCAGCCTTCCCTGGGCATGGAGGCCTGGCTCATTGCATAGAAGACAAGGGGACTAGAAGAGTAAATGCACACCATAAGGAAAGTCACATGGTCCAGGAGGCAAACTGGTGGAAAGGAGGGCTTCCACCTACTGTGGCCCGTCCCAGGCAGCCACTGTGGTCACTTCCGAGAGCCTTTTGGAGTGGCATCTGACAGCATCTCTTCACGTTCGAGATAGCCCTCCCACTGCTAGGAATTTATTCTGCAGTTAGATTTGCCTAGTTGCACAAGGACCCTATAAACAAGGGTGTGTGGTGACATTCTGTTGGTGTCGGGGAGCAGTAAACAGTGGTGCCTGCTCTGGGAGTGCTCAGGGGCCTCCCAAAGAGCCAGGCTTGTGGCTGCGTCCCAGCGGGGAAAGCGCCCAGGGCACGCTGAGTTTTCATCTTACGTGGATACTGTGGTTTTTCAGTTGACCACTGGCCACGCTCCACAATTCCTGCCATCCGGGAAGTGTCCCGAGACGAGTGCAGCCACACGTGGCTGACACCCTCCAGCAGAGACGCTGTCGCTGCCCAGCGGGGCCCTCGCTCAGCCATTGTTGGAGCCTCTGGGCATGAAGACCCTGAGTGGGACGTGGGATGCAGGGTGCGGTACCGACTTCTCCCTGTGTGCCAGTCTGTGTGGAGCTGTCTCCTGTGAGCCTCTCACTGCAGCCCTCTGAGGCGGGAACTAGGATCATCCTCCTTTCACAGATGAGGAAACTGAGGCACAGCGAGGGTGAATTTCCTGCCGACAGCCACACAGTAAGGGGTGGAGCCACCACCTTAACTCCAGTGGTCTGGGCTGGAATCCACATGTTGACCACTTCTCGCAGTGGAAGAGGCCAGGCCGCCACCCTCAGGAGCTTCTGTGTTAGTGGGGGGACAGATGATAAACTAGGAAAAGCAACAAAAAGCTTAAGTAGTTAGCGACTCCGATGCTATGAAAGAAATAAATAGAGGGCTGTGATAAGAATTAGCAGAGGTCAGGGACGGCCTGTCTGAGAAGGTGGCATTGGCGCAGACTCTGCAACCTGAGGAGCCAGCTGTGTGGGTCTTGGGCCTGGGACAGCCCGGGCAGAGGGACCAGCTAGTGCACAGCCTGGTGGTGGCATGCAGTGACTCCATTCTGGTGGCACATCCAGGTCCTCTCGAGGCCTGCCCAGAAAGCCTGCTCTCCGGGGAGGTGGGGACCCCTGTCCCGCCATTGGCCCTGAACTTTGGGGGCAGCCTCTGGGCCCATCTTCTCCGTGAAGGACTGGCAAGGAGTTTTCTCCCCTGATTCTGTGTACTTGTTGGTCTCGGCAGGTGATGGTTTGGAAGAGTAACTTTGATGTTGCGGATTATGGAGAAGCCGTAAAAGTGCAGAGGCCCCCAGCCATGCTGGCCAGCTCCTCCGGGAATGAGGTAAGTGGCTGGCAGCTGAGTCTGAGCCCTGTGACTGGTGTCCTGGGTCATGGTGAACAGTGCTGGACCCAGAGACGGGGATGGCAGGCTGGAGGCTTAGGCTGGTCACCGGGAAGAGGCCCTAGTAAGATCTTGTCGTTTACCAAGTAATGCTTTGGCCCTTGTGGTGCTTTGTTTCAAATCGAGAGTGAACACACACGACGCTGAGGAGGCTGTTAGGGTAGACAGACTGCTGGGTGCCTGCGCCCGTGCCTGCCCTTTGGTGAGAGTGTTGCCACAGGCACATGCCTGCTTGGCTGAGGACTGAGGAAAGGGAGGCCCTTTCGCGGGCCAGGCTCTGGGTCCTAGAAGGCGCGGGGCCTGGAGCTGTGGCTAGGCCGGGTCGCAAAGCCTGGCCCTGTTGCTCTCACTTCCTTTTTTTTTTTTTTTAAACCATGGAAAGGAAGTTCCTCAGCCACAAACCATTTTTAGTACTTTTGTCGGTAAAAGGGCACTCAGTGTTCCTGAAATAAAATAGTTAACAATATTTTTTTGGATAAATATTTGGGGGAAAAAGTTGATAACTGATGAAGTCTCATTGAATAAGGTCACATTCAGCTTTGGCTGAAGTAAACAGGACAGCACAAGATGTGGAGCCCCGAGGGGCTCGAGGGCTTTAATCCCCGGTGGCCACGGGCTGTTTGACTCTCTCCCCCTGGCCCTTAGGGGCAGCGTGGCCACACACGGAAACTGGCCTGAACAACAGGAAGCGCTTGCCCAAGGCCCCCCATGAGTCAAGGCTGGCCCAGAATAGAACCAGGAAGCCTCCTTCAATCCAGCCTCCAGCCTTCCACTCGGCAGAGGGACCCCCCCTCCCCGCCCCCATGCTTCTGTCCTTCCCCGTTCCAGGGGAGGGCACCGCCACCTGTCTTGGGAATGGTTGGTGGTCACCAGCAAGGGGAGAACCCCTTTTCTTGGAGTTACTAGGAAAGTTACTTCAACAAGCTGCCTCTTGTCCCCTCGGCCCTGGCTCAGAGGTGGAGGTGGGGCATCCTTGTCTTCCGGAGCTGTGGGGCCTGCTAATCTAGGACACAGGCCTGTGGGATGGGGGAGCCAGCAGGACAGAGCAGGATGGACGCACGCTTGGCGGGGCTAGGGAAAACCCTCTGTTCCTGTACTGCCTTCAGGCCACAGCTCTGCCCAGTGGACGTCCCCACATGGGACTCAAATAGGGGAAGGGGATGGGCGCTGGGGTCTGCACCCTCTCTTCGTAAGCCTGCATCTCCGTGGCGGAACCTGAATCCCCCGAGGCAGGCCTGAGCACCCCGTGTGTGGTATTGGGGAGCTCTAACTTGTCACATGTCCCCACGCCAGCCCACGCACACCATGCGGTGTCCTCATAGGGCCTTCTTTGATCAGGGCTCCCAGGCCACAAGGAGAGCTGGGCGAGGTTGGTGGTTTTGTTTCATATACATGACATAACATTTACCATTTGCCCGTTTTTCAGTGTGCATTTGTGTGGCATTAGTTACAGTCACATTGTGCAACCGTCACCGCTGTCACACACACAAGTGTTTCCGTCTCCCCAGACTGAGGCGGGCCCAGAGTGTAGCACCGCTCAGTGGTTAGGTCTCCCCTGCGGGGGAGGGGAGCTGGCGAGTGTGGTCTGGCCCATCCTGCCCCAGGGCTTACTGGCGCTGGGATGGTGCCCGTGACTGATTCGGGGCTAGTCGGCGTGTCTTTCCTCCTCGGGGAGCCCAGGAGGGGCTGAATCTGCTGAGCCCACCCCAGCTGCGTCCCCTACTGTCCTTCCGCAGCTCAGGGGTTCTCAACCTCAGCACTGTCATCCTCTGGGCCATAGAAATCATTGTTGGGGGCTGTCCTGGGCATTGTGGCCTCTACCCACGAGCTGCCAGGAACATCCCGACCCCTAGTCGTGACAACCAGAAATGCCTTCAGGCATTGCCGAATGTCTCCTGGGGGATAGAATTGCCCCCAGGGGAGAATCACTGCATTAACTCCCTCGGAAGTGAGTCCAGAAAGGAGGCTGATGGAGCAGCAGGAGGCGTGTGACACTGCAGGCAGGTGTGTGGTGTGGGAGGAAGGGGCACGGGGGTGGCGCTGGGGACAGCCATTCGAGCCCCTGGAGCCTCTGCTCCGGCTCAGCGGGCCAGACCTCTCAGCCTGGGTTTCTAACACAAGCCCACTTTGTAGAAATGCTTGGCTTGTCACACTCTGGAATCTTCCAGAAGTGATGTTCATACAGCCCTTCAGACCCTTGGTCTTCACCACTTACACTGGAGAGGGCCCTGGCCCTTCCCGCCTGTGGGCTTCCCTGGTGCTAGCGTACTACCTGGGGAGCGGTTTGGTGGCTGGCCAGGGGTCTGGGCCTTCCAGGCAGCCCACGAGCACCGCCGCTGTGCCCACGAGCTCTCGGATCTGCGGCCCGCCCCCCAGCTCTGCACGCGCGCTGGGCCTCGGCCCCATGAGCTGCACCTGGGCGTTTGGGGATTGTAGCAAGCCCGGCGGGCCAGGTGCTGGGTCTTGAATTCCTGACCATGTCTTCCTGGCGTGTGGCAGTGGAAGCCAGGCCAGGGCGGGGCAGCCCCGTGAGCCTGTGACAGCCTCTCTGCCCTGGATGCGCCCGCCCAGGACCCCGGCTCTGACTGGCATTCCGCTCTCTCGGAATGAAGGCCGTCCTCCAGCCCACTCTGAACAGAGCTCTGTTCATTGCCGCAGCTATTTTCAGCCTCTGCTTGAAATTCACAGCTTATTTTTAGGCTCATTTCATGTTGAAAAGCAAAAGCCATTTCCCAGCCCTTCAGAATGAGAATAATGGGTTCCATTTTCCCCTCTATTCTTGGCCGAGCTGTGATGTGGGATTTTCGGGCTGTGCTGGGCAGCTTTCTCTGCGTGGAGGGCTGAGGGGTAGGACTCCAATGCTGGGCTGAGGTGGGGCAGGACCCTGCAAGGCTGGAGGAAGGTTGGAAGGTTTCGAGCAGATGCGTGTTTCCAGGGGGGCTTGTGTGGGGGCCCCTCGAGCTGTCAGCAGCATCTCGTGCTGGGGTTTTCGAGTCTAGTGCTTAGCTCTGTTCCCTGCCGCAGCCCTGGCCGTGTCGCCCTCCGCACGCATCCTCATGGCTCTCACTCTGTCCTGCTGTCTGTACTTCAGGGCCTGTCCCTGGAGCATGAGGACCACTGTGTCTTGGCTGACCTTGGATTTGGCACCTGCCCCTCAAGTCCCAGCTGCCACAGCACTGACTTCTGCCTCAACCACAGACACATTTGTAAACGACTTTGAATAGCAAAGACGCATGTATTCTGATTGACTCTTGCCCTCCCGCCACATGTCTCTGAGCCCGTTATGCAATCGGGAAGGAAGGTTGTGCTGGGTGCGGGGGAGAAGGCACAATTCTAGGTAATTCTGTAAAACTGAAAACCCACTTCCTGAGTTGTCAGGGCTAGCTACCCTCCAGTGCAGACAATAACCTTGACTTCTAGGGCCCCAGGGCCTTTCTCCACTCAAATGGGAGATGCCAGGTCCTTGGTAAGATCTCATGAGGTGGCACGTGTCAGCAGGCGCTTGGAACCGCGCCTGGCACATGGATGGTGCTCAGCAAGCTTGAGCTATTTTTAAAATGTTCCTTTTCCTTCCTCTGTCCGACTGAGAGCTAGATGAGCCCCCCGCCCGGTCAGGGTGGTTGTGTGTTCAAACCTGCAGGGCGAGGGCCAGTGGCCATGGGGTGGGGGTGGGGGAAACAGGCCAGGACCCCCAGACCCCAGTGCTAGAACTGTGCCCTGGAAGAGGAGGCTGGGTTAGCCGAGGACATTGACCTGAGGCCTCAGCCTTCCCTGAGGATGGCCCATGTGTTCTTCCTAGTTCCTCTGGTCCTGAGGGTGGAGGCCCAGCCACCTCCTGCACCCTCACTTCACATTTCTATTTTGGGGTGCTGCACAGGGGTGGGCTTGACTTTGGGGTTCTTGGGCCAATTCCTGACTCGTAGAGTCTTGGCACTGGCTCTTGCCCCTTGCTGAGGTTCTGGGTGTCCTGGGTGGTGGTTCTCACCCAGACCAGAGGAGTCAGGGTCAAGGTGAGGAACGGGGCCCATGCCCACTTGCCTCAGATTCACTTGGGAACGTGGAAGACTTGGGTTTCTTACTGACAACAGTTTCTGGCTGGCATGTCCTTCCATAGTAAGAAGAAGTGTGGATTTGAGAGGACACTTGGCAGATGGGCATTGTGAGTGTTTAGAGCAGGAGTGAACCCCAGATTGACATGCCTTAGAGAGGAGCCTCTCCCTTACCTTGACCCCAGTTCTGGCTCCAAGTTTTCCAAGGCTGTTTAAGGGGGATCTTGGCAACACATGAGCCGAGGCTGCCCAGGCACTTGGACATGTTGGAAGTGCTGTTTTCGTGGGGCCCAGGCTCCCAGCACGTTGGCTGCCGTGCCCCTGCCCCTGGGCTCAGGGCATCTGTGGGGTTGAGACGTTGCTGGGCCCTGGCTCTGCTCACACTGGTTGAAAAACCAGCCGTGTCCACAGTCCCCTTTTTTCTGGGAATGAAAGTCTGGTGAGAACCACGGGAACGCAGACCCTCCCCCTGGTGTGGCAGTCGTGGGGCCTGGGGGGCGGGGTCTGGGCTTTGTGGGCTCACTTGGGACAGTGGGGACTTTGTTTTCATGTGCCCTGAGACTTAACGGTGCACATCTCTGTGTGGCTCCATGAGATAGTTCATTCTTGCCCCTGTGCTGCGCAGAGCAGGCACCTGAGCCCAGAGGTCATCTGCTGAGCGGCCCAGCCCCCAGTCAAGCCCGTGCCCCTGGGACTGAGGCACAGGTCTCGGCCCCTGTGCTAACAAAACTAAGAGGCTGGGGAAGAGCAAGCGGGATTGCCCCCACGTCTCAGTGGGAGAAAGGAGCCCAGCGTCCTCAGCCCCGCGACAGGTACCCAAGCCCAGCACAGGACAGACTGGTGACTCAGGAGCATAGTTGCCCTCCCCTGCGTGCCCCTGTGTAGACCCCT